CCATCTTGGCATTTTTGTCTAGGTCTCTATATTCTTCTCTGTGTTAGGAAAGCCTGCTGTGTTTCCTGCTTCTGAGAGTAATGGCTTTATTCAGAAGATGTCATATAGTATCCAAGGACTGGTTCTTCAGTATGTATCTCTGGTGTATGCTGTTTGCACTTTGCTGCTGTGTTTCCCTCAGGTCATTCCTCTGGGAGTTTCTCCTTACCTGAAATGGGGATTATCTGGACCTTTTCCAGAAAGTGGCAAGTTGTAACTAGGAGTGCTTTTGTCTGCTTGTTAAAAGAGGCTTGGTGCTTATTCCCCTAGAGCTGAAGCCTTTTGGCAGTCTGTGGTCAGTGGACTTGGTGCATGGGGTGGGGGGTGCTGTTCTTCTGGGGAAGGGGCCCATTGCTCTGGTTCTCAGGCACACTTGCCCTAGAAAAGAAGCACCTGCAGAGCTCTGTGAGGTGGGGTTGGTCTAAGCATCTCAGGCCTTCACTGTGGGTAATGTGTTGCTCACTGAAGTCAGTCCATGCTGATGGGTGGGGGAGAACAATGGTGCCAGCTCTCTCTCTCTCGTCCCCAGACAAGGGAGTTCACATTTGCCACTGTCTGGGAAGCCCTCCTAGAAGAGCAAACAATCTCCCCTTGTGTGTTACAGGCCTCCCTCATATCTCTCCTCTCACTCTTTCTGTGTCTCTGTGTCCACCCAGCTGTGCAGTGCACCTGTGTTTTACCCAGGCAGGCCAGCTGAGTTTCAAAACTCCAGACTTTAGGAAATTGGCATGGTATGGTCCTGCAGTAAACCCCTGGGGGTGGATCTCACCTCACTGGGGTTGGTGCTGGTTTGTCTCAGAAGGTCAGTAGCATCAACATGCAGGAGCTTGGAGTTTAGATTAAAGTGCAACAAAAGCCTATATCCAGGTTAGCTGCCCTCAGCAGGTGTGTCTGCCACCTACACTAAGGGGCGGGGGATACAATGTTACCCACTGACTCTTTTGTCCCCTAAGAGACAGTATCAGCTCTCCCAGATGCACTCCAAGAAGGGTGATCCATCTTTTCCTGTGCGTCCCAGGGTATCCTCAAATTGCAGTGTCTGCTCCCAGGCCTTTGCCCTCCTTCTCCAGAGGAACACTGCAGCGCCCACTGAGTTCCACACCAGCCACAGTGCAGACTTCTATAATTCCAGTCTTTGAGCTCTGCTGGTTGTAAAAACCCTTGATAATCAGCCCCTCTCATTTTCCCAGTCAATGGCTTCGGGGAAGTATTTTCCTTGTGTGATCCCTGTGTGCTTCTCTCTCTCTCTCTCTCTCTCTCTCTCCCTCCCTCCCTCCCTCCCTCCCCACCTCTCCATGATCAGGGATCCCTCCCCTCCCCTCTTTTTTCCCCCAAATCACATCTCCACACCTCCTACCTTCCATGATATGACCTCTTCTCTCCTTCTGGTTTGCAGTTTGTTCTGTCAGACCTCAGATTTATTTCTTGGGTGTTATATCACAATAATTTGATATTTATCTAGCTGTCTGTCAGTCCTCAGATATATTTCTTGGGTGTTATATCACAATAATTTGATATTTGTCTAGCTGTCTTGAGGGACAGGTAAGCATAGGGTCCTCCCATTACTCCATCCTCTATGCTCCCTCTACCAATATTTAAATTTCTTCTTATTTTTTAATGTTTATTTATTTTTGAGAGACACAGGGAGGCAGAGCATGAGCAGGGGAGGGACAGAGAGAGAGGGAGACACAGAATCAGAAGCAGGCTCCAGGCTCTGACCTGTTAGCACAGAGCCTGATGCGGGGCTGGAACTCACAAACCATGAGATCATGACCTCAGCTGAAGTCAGATGCTTAACCGACTGAGCCACCCAGGCACCCACCAATATTTAAATTTCTAATGATGCTCTGATAATTAGTATTTACTTAGTGAATTAATGGTGAATGTATGAATTGATTATTATTTAGGATTAACTATCATAGACTCAGTTATTTTTTTTTCTGTGTACATTAATAGTACATTAAGTATTTTATTTTCTTTCACTAATAAACTAATATGACTAATGTTCTGTTGACCACATAGCACGGTGGTCAAAATTTATATCATCTTGCTTAAAATATTAAAAACTAGATAGAATATATTCTGAGTATAATAAGAAAACAGAGCCCATGTTTTGTTTTTCATATAACTTCTGCCCCCAATAGGGACACCCACTGATGAATTTCACTTCAGTTTGAATTTCAAAAGTGGAGGTGGAAGAAAAGTTGCTTCAGTTTTTTGGGGGAGGAGAGAATGATGGGATACCAGATTCTGATTTAGGGCATTGTCATTCTTTTTGGTTAGATTAAATAAGTCTTGCTTGGATTATTTTCTTTCAGTCTGTAAATTGTGGGGATGATGTTTAAAGTCCTTATGAGTTATAGTATTCTGAACATTTTCTTTAGATTTTATTGTAAACTTTCTACTGAGGTTAGTATCTTTTGTATATATTTTTCTATTCCTTTTTACATATTTTGCTATTCATAATAAATGTATGTATTGTTTTCCTCCTAGGCAAGAGTATATTTTTTATTGTTGTTGTTGTTGTTTTTTTTTTTCATTTGGAAACTTCAGGACTCCATTAGCCTCCACTCCCATTAGCCTGCATTGATGGGGGAGGGATTTCAATTAGTGTATTTATCAGAGAGAGTCTATGGTGCATACCTCTTATTTCCAGAGTTTAGGTTTCTCAAGTCATGTTTGACAATGGTTGTTGTAATGATCATGATTAACTAAAACATCTGACTTCTCAGTATAAACCATCTCTTCCTATAAATGCTTTGGATAATGATTAGATTGAGGAGAGGACTAGATGTAGTTGAGTTTCACCTTTTCTGGACTCTTTGTTATTGGTGTCTTGATGCTTCACTTACATCTGGGTGCCCAGAGGCAGAAGAATGAAATGTGCATCTGTCCCCGGGACAGGGAGCTGTATTTGTGTTTGTGAGGATAAAAGAGAAGAGAAACCTTACCTTGATGTAAAATTTATTGCCAATTTTATGCAATATAGGAGATCATGACAATAAATTCAAAAATAGTAGTATCTAGTTCCAGTGGTGGCACAAAAGATGCAAATATTCTGACTCATCACCTACTATAACATTCTTTGTTCAGAACATGGAATGTGTTACAATATTATTGGAGAAATTTTGGCTCCAAAATCATGTTTCTTAGCTCCCTGGATAGGTTTGTCAGTGGTCAATTAAAATAAAATCTGGAAAGTCCATGATCTGAGTCTGAGAAATTTTTAAAAAATGCTCATTTTATCCTAAAGCACCCAAATGACTTTGTCATATAGTTTTGAATATAGTTCCAAATGCTATTTACTTCTTCCATTCATTGTTTTCTAACCAAAGAGCTTAGTGATTGTGGAGCCTTACAAAAACCTTGCACCAAACAAAAGAAATAGAGTACAGTGCTACAGTTAAATAAAAGGACAACTATATACCCCCCTACCAAAAGAAAAGATCATGTATCTTAATTCCATGTTGTATGTCTCATTTCTTTTTTGGGTTCTTATTTGAGCTAGTTTGTTTTCTGTTGGTTTCAAATTATTCAAAGTAATAATACCTTTGTTCTTGGACATATTCATAGAGTGGAGTGTTACCTTCTAAGTAAAAGGAACCTGATTCTGTTCTCTCCCTTTTATGGCAATCTCTGGCCTCAGAGTTTCTTGTATGCATGTTGTCCACATCCTGACTATATATACTGATGCTTCCTAACAAACTTGATGTGGGCCCTTGCTTTTGTTTTTCCCCACTCCATATGGTTTTACTGCTTGATGAATGTCTATACCCATATTTTTCACTTCCTGTAGGGTCTTGTCTATTAAGAGAGTGACTAGAAATGAACCCTTGCCTCCTGCTTCTGCTATCACTTGACTGCTCATAGCTGTCACTTGATTGGTCATGGCTATATACTTGTCTTTCATTGGTGCTGAATCCAGATTGACCCAGGATGTCTACTGATTGTCTATTACTTGATCCTTGTCTTACTAAACTTGTGCTGGATCTTATCTGCTCATGAGAAGATGTATCTCCCAAATGCTCCTGGCTGGATTCAGGCATACTTATATTATTGAACTCCGACTGTCCATGAGTAGATCCTGATGATTCATGAATCTGTTTCCCCCAATCTTTGGAATTCCCTTTATTACCACTATGGGATCCCTGCCTAAGAGTTGAACCAGATTTTGAATGGCAATGAGCTGATATAGATTGTCCATGGCTGAATATAGAATGGTTGCTTGATTGCCAACTTCCAGATTGAACATGAGTGTCACTTGATGGTTCATGACTTACTACTGAATGCCCATGACTAGATCCCTGCCTTCTAGTTACACTGGATGCAGACTGATTATGGGAATCAACTGATTGTCCATGACTTGAACCTTGTCTTTCTGTTATTTCAGTTGCTTTTGATCCTGTATGGTCATAACCAGAAATTAATTGTCCATGTGTAGACACTTGATTGTTTGCAGCTCTCTCTGTTGACCTCAAAGGGCTAGAATTGTGGCTGCTTGTTCTGCTGCCCCCAGAGGGTCCATACCCAGACTGCCCATAATCATATTCAGCACTTCCATAACTGCCATGTTTCCATCCTTGACCTGATCCATGTCTTTGTCTTCCACTAAGCTGTGACTGAGAATGACTTACTCTAGATTGGTGATGACTGCTATGTGAATGCTTACTTATGCTATCACTGGTGTGTCTATGAGTATCATGCGACTGTGTATGGCTGGATCCACCTTGTTCTGTTGTGCCAATTCCTAACTGTCCACGAGAAGATGTGGTGTGCCCCTGAGCTGAACCTGAGAATGTAGATTTGTCTCCAACATGTCTATGAGAGGATGCCTGTACTCCTGATCTTCTGGAACTAGGTTGCTTATGAATTGAAGTCTTCCCTTGTTCAATTATGGAATGTTTAGAACTATCTCCTGACTCTTCAGTACTAGAACCATGTCTTCTGGTTGTATTACTAACTGTGTTTTGGGGGATAGAACCAAAATGCCTATGACTAGAAACTGAGTGTCCTTGTGACACACCTGAGTGCCTTTCAGTGTCGCTGGACTCACTCACACTAGATCCCTTTCTTCCAGTCCACCTGGATTCTGCGCTGGTGGCTTGTCCATGACCAGACTGGGCAGGTCCAGTGGTGTCTCCTGTCTGTGGGCGAGTAGTTCCCAGTCTACCTTCATGGGTAGATGTTGACTCTCTAAGTTGAGATCCAGCATGGCCATGAGGGGACGCTGTGTGTGTCTGTGGGACTCCTGAAGGCCTTTCACTGGACTCATTGATGCTGGATTCTCTTCTTCCAGTCCTACTGGATTCTGACCTGGTGGCTTGTCCATGAGTGGACTGGGTATGTCTAGTGGTGTCTCCTGCCTGTCTGTGAGTAGTTCCCTGTCTTCCTTCCCGGGTGGATCCTGATTCTCCATGTTGAGATCCAGCATGGCCATGAAAGGACCCTGCCTGTGTCTGTGGGACTCCTGAAGGCCTTCCCCTGTCCCTGGACTCACTGCTCCTAGATCCTATTCTTCCCGTCCTACTGGATTCTGTCCTGGTGGCCTGTGCATGACCAGACAGTGTATGTCTGGTGGTGTCTACTTGCTGTCCGTGAGTAGTTTCCTGTCTTCCTTCATGGGTGGATGCTGACTCTCCCTGTTGGAATCCAGGGTGGCCATGAGGGGACCCTGCCTGTGACTGTGGGACTCCTGAGTGCCTTTCACTGTCACTGGACTCACTGATACTGGATTCTCTTCTCCCAGTCCTACTGGATTCTGACCTGGTGG